TTATCACCACTCTTATTCAACATTGTGCTGGAGGTCCTGGCTATAGCAATAAGGCAAGAAAAAGAAATAAAGAGCATCCAAATTGGTAAGGAAGAGGTAAAACTATCCCTATTTGCGGATGATATCATCTTATACACAGAAAACTCCAAGGAATCCACAAGAAAGCTATTGGAACTAATGGACAATTCCAGCAAAGTAGCAGGATACAAATTAACATACAAAAATCAGTAGGATTCCTCTACGCCAACAAAGAGAACTTCGAAAAGGAAATCACCAAGTCAATACCATTTGCAATAGCCCCCAAGAAGATTAAAAAAAAAAGTTGCCATCGAGAGTACTTAGGAATACATCTAACCAGGGACATAAAAGATCTATACAAAGAAAACCATAAAACACTAATGCAGGAAAAGAAAAGAGGCCCACATAAGTGAAAAAACATACCATACTCATGGATAGGAAGAGTCAACATTGTGAAAATGTCAACTCTACCCAAAGTGATCTACAGATACAATGCAATCCCAATCCAAATTCCAACAGCATTTTTTAACAAGATGGAGAACAAATCACAAAATTTATATGGAAAGCGAAGAGGCCCTGGATAAGTAAAGCATTACTGAAGAAGAAGAACAATGTGGAAGGCCTCATGCTACCTGATTTTGAAACCTATTATACCACCACAGTGGTCAAAACAGCCAGATACTGGTACAACAACAGGCACATAGACCAATGGAACAGAGTTGAGAACCCAGATATAAATTCATCTATCTATGAGCAGCTGATATTTGACAAAGGCACAAAGTCCATTAAATGGGGAAAAGACAGTCTCTTCAACAAATGATGGATATCCATTTGTAAAAAAAATGAAACAAGACCGATACCTCACACCATACATAAAAACTAACTCAAAATGTATAAAAGACCTAAATATAAAATCTAAAATGATAAAGATCATGGACAAAAAAATAAGTACAATGCTAGGGGCCCTAATACATGGCATAGATAGAATACAAACCATAACTAACAATGCACAAACACAAGAAGAGAAACTAGATAACTGAGAGCTCCTAAAAATCAAACACTTAATGCTCATCAAAAGACTTCACCAAAAGAGTAAAAGGAGAACCTACTGACTGGGAAAAATTTTTGGCTACAACATATCCGATAAGGATCTAATCTCTAAAATCTACAAGATACTGCAACACCTCAACAACAAAAAGACAAATAATCCAATTAAAAAATAGGTAAAGGGTATGAACAGACACTTTACCAAAGAAGACATTCAAGTGGATAAGAGACACATGAGGAAATGCCTGCGATCATTAGCCATTAGAGAAATGCAAATCAAAACTACGTTGAGATACCATCTCACTTGACAATGCTGGCACTAATCCAAAAAACACAAAATAACAAATACTGGAGAGGTTGTGGGGAGATTGGAACTCTTATGCACTGCTAATGGGAATGTAAAATGGTACAACCACATTGGAAAACGATATGGTGCTTCCTTAAAAAGCTAGAAATAGAAATACCATACGATCCAGTAATCCCACTCCTAGGAATATACCCTAGAAAAACAAGAGTTGTCATGCAAATAGACATATGCACACTCATGTTCACTGCAGCACTATTCACAATAGCAAAAACATGGAAACAACCTAAATGCCCATCAACAGATCAATGGATAAACAAATTATGGTACATACACACAATGGAATACTATGCAATGATAAAGAACAATGATGAATCTGTGAAACATCTCACAACATGGATGAATCTGGAGGGCAACATGTTGAGTGAAATAAGTCAGTCACAAAAGAACAAATATTGTATGAGACCGCAACTCAAGAAAATGTTTCACACAGAAAAAAGCATTCTTTGATGGTTACGACGGTAGGGAGGACGGGGGAGGGGAAATCACTAACTAGATAGTAGACAAGTGTCAACTTCAATGAAGGGAAGGACAACACACAATACAGGGAAAGTCAGCACAACTGTACCGAAGCAAAAGCATAGAAGTGTCCTAGACACTATCAAACACTTGGAGGGGCCGAGTAGCTGGGGCTGGGGCCTGGGGACCATAGTCTCGGGGAACATCTAGGTCAATTGGCATAACATAGTTTATAAAGAAAATGTTCTACATTCCACTTTTGTGAGTAGCGTCTGGGGTCTTAAAAGCTTGTGAGCAGCCATCTAAGATACATCTATTGGTCCCATCCTACACAGAGCAAAAGAGAATGAAGAAAACCAAAGACACAAGGAAAATACTAGCCCAAAGGACGAAAGGACCACGTGAATCATCCTGAGACCAGAAGAACTAGATGGTGCCCGACTACCACCAATGACCACCCTGACAGGGAGCACAACAGAGTCCTGGACAGAGCAGGGACTCAAATTCAAATTCAGTAAAAAGACCAGACTTAATCGTCTGACAGAGACTGGAGGAACCCCCAAAGCCATGGCCCCCAGACGCTCTGCTAAACCAGAATGGAAACTGTTCCCGAAGCCCACTTTTCAGACAAAGATTAGACAGGCCTATAAAACAAAAAATAACACACGTGAGGAATGTGCTTCTTAGTTCAGTCAAATATACAAGACCAAATGAGCGGCTCCTGTCCAAAGCAGGATGAGAAGGCAGGAAGGGACAGGACCTGGACGAATGGACACAGGGAACCTGGGGTGGAAAGGGAGAGCGTGATATCATATTGTGGGGATTTCAATCAATGTCACAAAACAATATGTGAATAAATTTTTGAATGAGAAATTAACTTGAGCTGTAAACTTTCACCTAAAACACACACACACAAAGATTACTCCAAAAACAAACAAGCAAATAACCACATGTGCACAGGCCCCACCTCCAAAGATTTCGTTTCAATTAGTTTGTGGGGGCTCCAGTTATTAACATTTTTAATAGGTTTATTGGACAATCATTTTTCTTCCTCTCAGCACTGGCTTTTCAAATTTTTTCCCTTCTTCCTCATGAATTTCGTGTCATTTTCTTACTGCTTTCTGGGCATTTATTATATTTAATAGAAATTCTGCTAAAGTTTCACTATTGAGATGTTCCATATAGGTATTTGATGGGTAACTTTTATGAATTTAAGGAAGTTATCTGCTATTACTAGTTTGCTAGAATGAGCTGAGATTTATAAAATGAATAATGGTAGCCCTTCATGATCCAGTCATAGGAACGAATGATTTGAATGAGGTTTAGTTCCTGACAAGATACATGAACTACTTGAGGGACAGTGTTTTGCTAATTCCTGGGTCCTCTCTGGAGATACTGATATTCTTCCCAGAACAACCTCTGATCCAACTCATTTAGGGAGTTTAGGGAAGTGGTCTGTATGGCATTTATTCTGGCCTTTGGAGGTAGGGCCTGAGCAAGAGAACAGAAGCCTGCAAACCAGGAGACCCACATTACCAGTCTGGCTCTGACACCAGCCTGCTGTCTGATCTTGAGCAACAATACTGAATAAACTAATAAGGACTGCACTTTTATGAGGTGTCAGGCTCTGTGATAAGCACAAAATTCTGATTACCCGTTGCCGTCAAGTAGATTCTGACTCATAACTACCCTATAGGACAGAGTAGAACTGCCCCATAGGGTTTCCAAGGAACAGCTGGTGGATTCGAACTGCTGACCTTTTTGTTAGCAGCCAAGCTCTTAACCACTGTGCCACCAGGACTCCAGATCCTGTTTAGGTGGATATTATTAGTGTTCCTATTTTATAGACAAGGAAAATAAGGTGTTCAGTGTTCGAGTGCCTTGTGCAAGTTTACAGAATTGTGTAAGTAACAGAGGCAGGGCTGTATGTAACTTCAGTGGAACCAAACTCTATGTTATAAATGAATTTTCTGTGCCACAAGTCACTTTCCATGTCTGCATTTCCTGATTTCTTATCCATGCTTAAAACCAAAGTGTGAACTAGACCAAGAATAAGCAAACCTGCATGCAAATGGGTCTGATACAGAAAAACTAGAAACATTTGTGGGCCACATTATTTTCTATCAGTACATATTTATTTCAACTGGGAAGCACAATATCTGCAACAGCATTTATGCATTTGTTATTTTTTTCCTGCCATTTAAGGGTTTCTTCTTAGGGCTAGAATTTCAGATACTACCTCACTAACACCACTGTTCCTTTCACGTGTACCGAATTCTAATACTGGAGCTTCGAATGCATATTGTCTGAGATGAAATCTAGTTTGGTAGTTGAAGGTAAGTTGGCATGCACAGGCAAGGGGAGATTGTTGAAGGACCTGGGGATAGGGAAGTACCAGACGTTAGTGACGGTAGAGACAAAAGACAGACTAACCAGGGGATTGCTACATGGGTAAGTGGGAGAGGAGAGCAACATTTGGAACGAGTCTGATTAGACTACAGATAAGGAGGTGACATGAGATATGAATGAATGACTTCCATTCTCCACTCCTTTTGGAAGGGGGGATGAGAGGCTTATAAAGGGGAGTTCATCTCTGTTGCTTTTGTCCCTTTTCCTCATCCTGTATAGGTCACAAAGCCACATCCCTAGCAGTGGTTGAGTCTGTGACTCAGCCCTGTAGTGGAAGCACCTTTGCACAACCCACCGATAACAGTTCTGGCAAAAGTACTGAGAACCATTCTGATGGGGCAGGGGAAGGTAGTTGAAGGTTCACATATAAGCCATTGCATTTGTGTTTTTTTATATTCATTGATGATAGGAATACTGGGATAAGAGTACCTGATCTGCCTTTCAAATATTTCCCAGAGGGCATAGGAGAGGGCATTTGCCAGCCCAGTAAATTCCTTGGAGTTAACTAATTGAGGGAGTTTCTGAAAAAGAGGAATGCACTGACATGGGGCCTTCCTGTGCTTTGGTTAATAATGAGTCACTCATTGACTATCTGAATGTTCGATCACAGGAGTGGCCTTTTCTACAGCCAAAACGGTTCTGCAAGTATCCAGTCTTCACCCCTGCACAAGGTAAGACACATCCAAGCCCACATGGATCACATCAGACTATACTATTTATTTATATCCTATTGCAATAAGCACATGCAATTAGCCAACAGCCTCTTTCTCAAACTACACTTCTGTTGGGTCCACAACTTTCCCTAGAAAGAGAATGCTCCTGGTGGTTTTCTCCAAAATCAACAGCAAGAAGGATCTATTAAATTGGATGATAGGGTGAAGGACAGTCATCTCAGGCTGGTCCAGGAATCTGTCTTCATGGACAGCTATACCTTCAGTTCCCTTTTCACCAATGTCCAGTACTGCCTTGTGCGCAGCCTGCAGGGAAAAACAAACACTGCTGGTCCCTTAAAGAAACAGGAACAGTCTTTGGGAGGGTCTAGAAGCATGTAAGGAAAAGGAAAGATGCCACTATCCCTGTGCTGTACTCTGCTGATGGTGATTGAATGTGAGAGCTTCTCAGCTAAGTGTAGGTAAATGAATCTCTGGTGGTTTTAGGGGCCAGTTGTCAGGAAACTACCTCTCTCATTATGGCCCTCTGCCTCTCCCCCACCTCTAGGGCTGTATCTCACCAGAGCAACTTCTGACCATTAAGCTCTGCTATCAGAGTAATTTCAGAACATGAACGTTGGGAATGGAGAAATTGTGTTACAGTGACTTGTTTGGGGTGACAAGAATGACTCTTAATGAGCCTGGCCTAGTGACAGTCACGCTGCCTCTCTAGGCTTTGGATTCCTCATTGGTAAAATGAGTGATTTGAATTGACTCACAAGGTCCCTTCTATATCAAGAAATTCAAGGATTCTAATCTATCAACTTACATTGGAAAGTTTCAGCCCATTGCCTTCTGCAAGTCCAGAAAAATCAGCATGGTCAGTAAAGGCATCCTGGATGCCCATTTTCAGAAGGATGGCTCCAAGGTCATATGTGGCAGAAATGGAAAATTTTGGAACAAATAAGTCAACCCACCTGTGGAAACAGGGGCGGGACACATGACCATCACCACGCCAAGCTCATGATGCCCTCCTTCTCTCACTCACCATGGTATTACTTTGGGCTCTTCTCCTCCCCTTGACAACCACTGACAACCATTGCTGTGTAGTTCAACACATGGCACAAAACCACAGATGTTATTCTGGGAGAAATGAGCTCTGGTTCAGCCAATGTCGGGCTGTAGCACTGTGAGTAATGAGATAGATCTCCCTTATAATCAAAAAGAAACATGGCTGGGGTGTTGGACAAAGTTGGGGAGCCAGTGGTGTGAAGGTCAATGAGTAGCACCCAGGGAAGCTCATGGTTTTCCATACTGCACTTTGAGCTCAGAATAGCTGCCCACAACTCTTAACATCCAAGTATCATCCATCCCCCAAGCTCTAGTTGGTCTCTAGGAAGGCATCAATTTACTACCTGACTGACCTTGGAGAGCTCATTTTATCTTTCTAGCCCTGATTTTCTAATTTTTAGAATGCAAATGATATCACTACCTCTTTTGCAAGTTTGTTGACGTACTTAGATCACCAAGACAAAGTATATAAAGTGCCCTGCAAACAGCCTGGCACATGGTATGTTTTCAACATGCTCAAGTGGTCCTCACACAGATATTAGGTGTTTCAGAGTGACTCTCCTATCTTTGGGTTTTCATTGAACTCAGTCTCAGGTGCACTGTTATGCCCACCCTCCACCCCTCACAACCTCTAAGGCATTTACCCCTTCTGAAGTAAGCCGTTCCACTTCTTCAGTGTTTTAGATGACATGGATCCTTCCACCCACTCCATCTGGCCCTCCTTCGGAAGGACAAAGAGCGCCAGAGCTTTCTCACTGTAGTCCATTTGCAGCACTGTGCAGTTAAGCTCCGTATCTACCAGATGATAGTACTGTTCCATCTGGTGCATCATGGGCACTTGCACTGTGGTTGTCTTGTCCACTAAGAAGCTGGAACCCTCTTCTGTTTTGGATGAATCGAAAGGATTTGCCCACTGTGCTTAAAATACAGAGAGAAATGAGGTGTTTATTTCAAGCCAGAATTAGTGCCTACATGAGCTTTTTTAACTTATCTCACTCTAGTAATTAAGGCAGAGGTAGGTACCAACTGTCAACTAGTTTTACAAGTGAATAACTAAAGATCAGGAAGAGAAAGTGACTTGACTATGGTCACCCAGTGAGCAGGTGGCAGAGCCAGGTGTCACACTCAGGGCTGTTGGGCTCCATGGTCTGTATTCAAAACCACTATACTTACACTAAACCCATCAAAGCCACAGTTTCCTCTTCTGTAAAAAGGTATAAGGACATCCAACACACAGGGTGAAATGAGACAACAGATCTGTTCACTCCTCCACTAAACGTGGCTGAGATGTGCTGTAGACTCAGGAGAAATCATTTGGGCACAGCACCTTCAGAAAAGAGTCAAACGATTCTTGTTGTTACAGGCACCGGCTTTGGAGTCAGACAGACCTGGCTGGAAATACCAGCTCTGAAACGTATTAAATATGTGAAGCTTTTGTGAGGAATAGATGAGACAATTGTGTAAACCACAAATGTAGCATGGTGCTTGGTACATAGACACTGCAGAGTATATGATAGAAATATTCATGTAACATGCCCAAGAGTACACAATAAGCAAGGGTCACAGTGGGGTTTAAACCCAAGTCTGTCTTCCTGCAAGCCCAGAATTGTTTGGGAAATGTGATGTTCTAGCCAGATGTGAGCAGGATGTTTATGCCATTGTCACCCACCTCCCTGAAAGTGTCCTCTCCCTAGAAATTTCCTGGGCTCATCCACAGAGTTGTATGTCTTTCCTAGGAGAGGCAGCACTATGTGCAGCTATACCCAGTGGAGCAGGTCACTTTGGTATGAGGGACATCTGCTGGTGCCAATGAGAAAAGACCATGAGCTTACTCCCCACAAAACCTCCCCCCAAAAGTTATATAAACACTACCTTGAAATAGACATCTTACGGTCTTACCTTTAAAGTAAATATAGTTCACCAGGACCATGATGGTGTTTGGTTTGAGGTTTCGGATGAGGCTCACAACTTTCCCTTTGGTTTGTTTCTCCACATGACTATTGATCTCCTGCTTGGCTGCAGAAACATCGGAGAAGTCGGTAGATAAGACTTCAGTCTCATAAAGGCTCTTGACATCATCCAAGAATTTTGCCAGTGGTTTCAGCTGCTTCCCAATGAAGAGGGCATTTCCCATATGCAATTCCAGCTCCTTCTTTGGAAAATTCAGTGAACAGATGAGGTGCTGGAAGCCCTGCTGGATCTCTGCTATTGGGGTGACTGTGAGATTGAACCCCAAGCTTTCCAGGATCTGAGTTTGGGTGCTGGAGCAGGCCCCAAGGGAGAGCATGGCCAAAGCAGCAGAAATGCTCACAGGGGAAAAGAAGATATTCTGATTTGGGGTCTCCACAGTGAATCTCCGGTACAGGTTGAATGCAAAGTCGGCATTGTTGGATGACATCTTATAGAGAGTGACATTTTGTTGGGGGGAATGGCAGGTGGTTACTTTGCCTTCAGAGCTGTTAGGTGATGTACAATGGATTGTCACATGAAGCCCAAGTAACAAGAAAACCAGATAGAGGGATGGTGACATTTTGGGAGGAAAGTAATCTATATAAGAGATGAGAAGAGAGAACCATTGGGAAAGGTTAAATGGATGAAACACTCTCTAAGCCAGAGACACATAATAATTATCCATCATTATTAATAATAAGACAATAGCAAAAAAATGATAGTGTGCTCACCAGGGACTGAGTGGAGGCCTCTCATTCCTGAAAAACTGATGACATATCTAATGGGAGCAGTAAGTAGCAGAGGTAGCTTGCCAGGACCACAGAAATCAAGAAATGGATTTTTGTTCAGATATAACAGGGACATTATTAAAATACTGTGAGTATACTAAATTTATGGAAATTGTATCACTTTCTATTTGAAACAGAGACAGCCTTTTGGAGAGAGAGGCAAAACACTCCCTGTGCATACATTATTCTTTGTATATTAGAAATCTGGATTGTGTTATTTTTTTTTTTTCCTTTTCAATTTGTCATTTTCCTCAGATAAAATCTATAAAAGATGAGATGAGAAAACCTCTCTACTTTCTTTGGCTTAAAAACAGGAGGATAATTTTCGTAAAATATGTGTAGCTGCAGTGGAAGGGTGATAGTTTATGTAGTCATGCACAAGGTCATGAGCTGAAATCCATTCATTTGTGTAACACTTGGAAGCCGTGGAAGTACTTCCAAACAACAGGAAGATGAAAATGTAACTGTGCATTTTAGATCTCTCTCACCATCAGTATCATCTAAAGAGTCATTTATAAATTGTAAGACATCTTAACATCCATGCACATTATTTTTAAATTATTAGAGAGGGATCCAGAAAGATATACTGTAAGGTGCTCTGAAGAATGGAATGCAATGGAATAAAAGGGTCAGCTGTGGAACCCCCAATGACAGTGGTCATGAGTGGCTAGAAGGAAGAGTACCATGGAGTCGGGACAGGGCTCCTTCTTCAGCCCTCCATCCTCTTCCTGGGTTATCACATTCACTTCCAGGAACTCAACTTCCACCTCATAAAAGAATATCTCTAGTCCAGAACATTCTTCTGAGTGTCTAGCTATTTCTCCAGCTGCCTAATGTATATACCCTCTAGAACATTCCATATTCACTTCAATCTCAAAGTTTCCAAAGGTTAAACTCACCATTTCTCTACTCTTAAAACCTTCTCCTTCTCCTTCATTCCTCATCTCTGTCTACTGATGTCATGTCTGAAACCTAGGAGTCATCCCAAGGGCTTCCCTCATTCTCCTCATCTAATCAGTCATGATGCCCTATGAATACCCATTGCCATTGAGTCGATTCTGACTCATAGTGACCTTACTGGACAGAGTAAAAATTCCCCATAGGGTTTCCAAGGCTGCAAATCTTTACGGAAGCAGACTGCCACATCTTTCTCCCGCGGAGCAACTGGTGGGTTCAAACCACTGAGCTTTAAGTTAGCAGCTGAGCACTTAACCACTGCGCCACCAGGGCTCCCTACCTCATGAATAAAACAAAAACAAAAAACAAATCTGCTGCCATTGAGTTCATTCCGACTCATAGCGACCCTATAGGACAGAATAGAACTGCTCCATAGGGTTTCCAAGGAGCCCCTGGTGGATTCAAACTGCCAACCTTTCGGTTAGCAGCCGTAGCTCTTAACCACCACGCCCTATGAATACTACCTCTTAAATACCTCTCAAAATTTCTACCTCATCTCCATCTCTACTGCCACTGCTTCAGTTTATGGCCTGAACTACTGCATCAGCTCCTAGCAGGTCACACTGCCTCCAGTCTCTCCACTCCAACTCTCCTGCTTCCACAACTCTCTCTAATCTCCACATTGTCACCAGGGTCCTCTTTCTGTAAAAATCACCAAGGCTAGTAGGAGGCCAATTATTAGATGACCATGTATAGACCTTGGCCGCAAAAGCTAGGAGTTCAGAGCTCATAGGGATTTGGGACTCTGACTGCTGAACGAGACGTTCAAAGTAACCAAAGAGAAAAAAGTACTTACAGCACACGACCAAGAAGCCACTTGCATCTTTCAGAAAGCAAAACCTTTCCATCTTTATAATGTGCCCTGTATTGCAAAACTAGAACACTTGTAGTTACTCATTAACCCTGCGATGATATTTCCAAAGCCAATGCCCAAAACCAAGGCCGAGAGGAACAAAGTGAAAAATGATAAGGATGAAACTTTGGATGATTGCTTTGGCTGCCAGATCGTTCATCTATAACAAAAGAGAAAAAGGATTGTCAGAGCTGTGGGAGGTTCAGGTTCATGCCAGCAAAAGTGTCTCTTCAGCAGGCAGAACAAAGGCCATGGGCAAAGGTGACAGGAAGCAGCAGGAAAAAGACTGTTCTTACAATCATGGCCAAATAGTGCTGTGATCGGCCGACTTTGGAAGGAAAGGAGCACACAGGCAGAGGCTAGGTGAGCCTCTCATAGGGGTGTGGTAGAAATTATTTATACATTGGCCAGGAGGAGATGATGTCAAAGCTAGCTTCCTACTCTAAGCTTCTGATGCTCCACACATATATGTCTACTTAGGGGAACAACCATTCCCATCCTATGGTCACTAAAATTCTGTGCACCATTCCCTGGGCCACATGACTCCAAAAGAGGGTGCAGAAGAATCCAACTCATTCAGTGTTAACTGTGTACCAACAAAACACAAAGAAGCTGTGTGAGAAAAGAGCACTGGACTCAGTCAGAGACCTGGGTTCAGTCTTGGCTCTACCACCTTCTAGCTCTAGTAGTAGTTGTAACAATAGCAGCAGCAGCTACTCCTGCTGATTGAGTATTTACCATACGCAGGGCATGATGCAAAGCATCTGGGCATCTGGTTCCAACAACATCTTGCTTTAGGACTACATTAAGGATGTGCATGTGTTAAGTGTGTGCTGAGGGGTGGAGGCAATGGGCATACTTTGAGCTTATTCCAGATGTAGTCCATGACAAGACTTGGAAGCTCAGACTTTACCGTTAGGGCACTGGGAAGCCCCTGGGAGATCTTTGACAAGGCAGATAAGGGGTAATTATGCTGCAACATTGTTTCTCTCAACTAAGGATTAACTGAGCTCCTAGTATGTGGAGGGCACCACACTGGGCAGTGAGGTTTCAGAGGTGAGTGGTAAATATTGGCCCTGAATCTACTGGATCTTTCTAACCACCTGGCACCCACTATCCTAACTTGAATAGGAAAGGGCACACCTCACATACAGGATGATCACTGATGTGTGTGTCACACAGCAAGTCAGTGGCAAGCTCAGGTCTCCCGACTGTGAGGCCAGTACACACTCACTCCTAGTAATACAACACAAAGTTGGCTCTCTCAACTACTGCAAGTCCCTTCAGAAGAAACAGGAAAAAAGCTATCTAAAAAGAAAACATCCAGACCTGTGCCCTCTGGTGGCATAGTCAGACAATCACATAGCCTTGTTTTCTGCTGCATCTGATTCAGCTGAGTTTTGCTAACAGCTAGTAACTGCAAGGCCTATCTCTGAAATACAAAAAGGTCATCCCTCTCTCCCAGGCCCCCTGTCCTGTGCTCTGGAGTCAGAGGCACTAGACTTGTGCTCCTGTCAGGTCTCTGCCACGTAGTAACTCTGTGATTTGGGCAAGTTACTTAATATGCCTGAACCTCAGTTTCCTTACCTTTAAAGTGGAAATGCTAATAATCCCCATATCATGTGGTTATTGAGAGTATCCAATGAAATTTAAAGGTGATGTCCTATCACAGTGCTTAGCACATAGTAGGTATCCATCAGCTGTTACTTCCTTGCCCTCTCATCTGCTATAGTGATTCTCTTTCTCCATGTCAAGCTTCCAGGATTCCTGGGCTCCATCCCCTACCCCCAAGACTGTTCAGTTTTGTTCACTAGAAATGCATTCTCCTTAAGAAGAAATTGATTGTTAAGGTGTAAGATCTTCTTAAACAAATGTATATTTAACACAATAATTTGTCTTGTATAAAGCTGCTGAAGTGTGGAGCCAGCACATTGAACACAGAATCCCTAGGAAGTGTTACCATGTCAATAAATTCAATCAGATCTAAAATTATGTATCTTCCTCTTTGGATGAACAATATTGTAATCAATTGCCACACAAATTCTTCAGAGTTTCAATATCAAGAAATAAAATATCAGTTTAAACTTAGAAAAATAAAGATAAATTTTAAGGTAACCACAAAGGAAGCTAACAAACCTACCCATCAAATTAAAAAAGAAGAAAAACATAAAGACTCAGCAAACACAAAATCAACAATAATGAAAAAGATGAAAAGAAAATACATAAAAATGACTCAGCACAGAAAATTAAATGCAACAAAGAAATCGTCAACAGCACAAAAAAAATACATCAAAATGACAGCACTAAACTCATACCTATCAATATTTACATTGAATGTAAACGGACTAACCTCACCCATAAAGAGACAGAGAGTGACAGAGAATGGATAAAAAAAAAAAAAAAAAACACGATCCACCTATATGCTGCCTACGAGAGACACACCTTAGACTCAAAGACACAAACAAACTAAAACTCTAAGGATGGAAAAACATATATCAAGCAAACAATAACCAAAAAAGAACATAAGTGGCAATATTAGTCTCTGGAAAAATAGACTTTAAAGTAAAATCCACCACAAAGGATAAAGAAAGACACTATATAATGATTAAGGGGTCAACACACTAGGAGAACATAACTATAATAAATATATACGCAACAAATGACAGGGCTCCAAAATACATAAGACAAACTCCAACAGCACTGAAAAGAGAAATAGACAGCTTCACAATAATAGTAGGAGACTTCAACACACCACTTTCGGTGAAGGACAGAACATCCAGAAAGAAGCTCAATAAAGACATGGAAGATCTAAATGCCACAATTAACCAGCCTGATCTCATGAACATATACTGAACACTCCACCCAACAGCAGCCAAGTATATTTTCTTTTCCAACGCACACGGAACAGTATCCAAAATAGACCACATATTACGCCACAAAGCAAGCCTTAACAATCCAAAACATCAAAATATTACAAAGCATCTTTTCTGAACACAATGCCATAACAGTAGATCAGTAACAGAAACAGCAAGGAAAAAAATCAAATACGTGGAAACTGAACAACACCTTGCTTAAAAGCTACTGGGTTATAGAAGAAATCAAGAACAGAATAAAGAAGTTCATAGAATCAAATGAGAATGAAAACATATCATACCAGAACCTTTGGGACACAGCAAAAGAAGTGCTCAGAGGTCAATTTATAGCAATAAATGCAAACATTCAAAAAGAAGAAAGGGCCACAATAAAAATATTAACCCTTACAACTCAAACAAATAGAAAGAGAGCAGCAAAAGAAGCCCTCAGGCACTGGAAGAAAGGAAATAATAAAGATTAGAACAGAAATAAATGAAATAGAGAATAGAAAAACAATCGAAAGAGTCAATGTCTTAGTCATCTAGTGCTGCTCCAACAGAAATACCACAAGTGGATGGCTTTAACAAAGAGAAATTTATTCTCTCACAGTCTAGTAGGACAGAAGTCCAAATTCAGAGCATCAGCTCCAGTGAAAGGCTTTCTCTGTCAGCTCTGGAGGAAGGTCCATGTCATCAATCTTCCCTTGGTCTGGGAGCGTCTCAGTGCAGGAACCTCAGGTCCAAAGGACACGCTCTGCTCCTGGCGCTGCTTTCTTGGTGGGATGAGGTCCCCAACTCTCTGCTTGCTTCCCTTTCCTTTTATCTCTTGAGAGATAAAAGGTGGTGCAGGCCACACCCCAGGGAAACTCCCTTTACATTGGATCAGGGATGTGACCTGGGTAAGAGTGGTGTTACAATCCCAACCTAATCCTCTTTAACATAAAATTACAATCACAAAGTAGAGGACACCCACACAACACTGGGAATCATGGCCTAGCCAAACTGATACACACATTTTTGCAGGGACACAATTCAATCCATGACAGTCAACAAGACCAAAAGTTGGTTCTTTGAAAAGATCAACAAAATCAACAAATCATTGGCAAAACTGACAAAAGAAAAACAGGAGAGGAAGCAAATAACCAGTATAAGAAATGAGATGGGTGATGTCACAACAGACTCAACTGAAATAAAAATGATCATAACAGAATACTATGAAAAATTGTACTCCAATAAATTTGAAAACTTAGAGGAAATGGACACATTTCTAGAAACACACTACCTACCTAAACTAACACAAACCGAGGTAGAAAAGCTAAATAAACCCATAACAAAAGAAGAGATTGAAGAGGTAATAAAAAAAAAAAAACTCCCCCCCAAAAAAGCCCTGGCCCTGACAGCTTCGCTGGAGAATTCTACCAAACTTTCAGAGAAGAGTTAACACCACTACTACTAAAGGTATTTCAGAGCATAGAAAAGGAAAGAATACTCCTGAACTCATTCTATGAAGCCAGTGTAACCCTGATACCCAAGCCAGGTAAAGACACTAAGGAGAAAGAAAATTACAGACCAACATCCCTCATGAACATTGACGCAAATATCCTCAACAAAATTCTAGCCAATAGAATTCAACAGCATATCAAAAAAATAATACATCATGACAAAGTGGGATTCATACCACGTATGCAGGAATGGTTCAACATTAGAAAATCAATAAATGTAATCCATCATATAAATAAAACAAAAGATAAGAACCACATGATCTTATCAATTGCTGCAGAAAAGGCATTTGATAAAGCCCAACACCCATTCCTGATAAAAACTGTCAGCAAAATAGGAATAGAAGGGAAATTCCTTGACATAATAAAGGGAATTTATACAAAGCCAATAGCCAACATCATTCTAAACAGAGAGAGACTGAAAGCATTCCCCTTGAGAACGGGAACCAGACAAGGATGCCCTTTATCAACACTCTTAGTCAACATTGCGCTGGAGGTCCCACAGAGCAATAAGACAAGAAAAAGACATAAAGGGCCTCCAGATTGGTAAGGAAGAAGTAAAAGTATCCCTATTCACAGATGATATGATCTTATACACAGAAAATCCCAAAGAATTCACAGGATAACTACTGAAACTAACAGAAGATTTCAGCAAAGTATCAGAATAAAAGATAAACATACAAAGTCAGTTGGATTCCTCTAA